GGCATTCGGCTGAGGTGGCACTGCATTGCGTGGTGGGTGGTACCGAGGCCAAGACCGGTCATCAAATGCACACTCAACTCAATTGGTGAGAAATCTGTGGTTGGGGGCAGCTATCTCCACGTACGTTGTTCGCTTACCTTATCTACTCTCTCAATCTCTTCTTACCGCGAGGAAGTGAGTCCAACTTGAGAGTCCTCTCTTTTGGTGAGGTGTCGTGAGAGCAATACCTTGAGAGACGACAATCTTCCCGGAAGCATCTGGAAGGAGAAAGGGCGGTGCCTCTGAAGGGCCCTGGTTGAAGCATTGGGTCACGGTCACCATGCCAACCCAATGGGAGTAGGTCACGCATGCGATGGCTGCTGTTAATTTTGGCACTTTGCTGCGCTGATAGAAGTCCTGCCGGGTGTGCCAGCCCATATGAGACGCTTACCAGACCGTCTATAAATATTTCTGGTTGGGGACTCAGTGATGATTCTGGCTGTGATCGTCGTCCTGTCTGCGACGTTAAATAATTCCTGCGGAGATAGGGGCTCTCCTTAAATCCCTCCTGATCAGCCAGATCACACTGGGCAGTAAGGCTCGTTCCGTACGAGGGTGAATAAGAGTGGATGGGCTGGCTTGCTCGGCAATGACTTGGGCACAGGGGTGGGCCGAAAACACACACGAAGACACCGCTGCTCATTGATGCTGTTCGATATGTTGGATTGAGGGGAGGGTAGGTTCTAATTGATGCTCAACTGGATACACAACCATACCCATTGATCATACATCTGCAACATGGTCTGGGCTTATTATTGATTAGTTGGTTGACAGCTGCAAACACCTCACAGACAGATTAGAGTAGGATTGTTGTATACTACCATAGCCAGTTCTATCTAATGCTGCTGTAAGTGAACCAATCAAGGTACACCTAGACTATGTTGACAGTCTATTGCGAATGTTGTAGGCTGCCACTTGATCGGTAAAGTAGGGGACCTGCCGGACACAATTATTTTTAGAAAATTAAGTGTCGGTCAGACACATGCTGTGGTAGGACTCCACCAGGGAGTTGTAGTGCAGATAGTGTTTGCCTAACTCATGAGCGGATCAGACACCGATGAGGGTAGAGTTGACAATGCGAGACTTACACGTTCGGGAGCACTAAGGGTCCCGCACGTGTTCCAGACCCTACAACCGGGAGACGAAGCACGGCTTCGTGCCGAACGTAGAGCTCGTGCTCTTGCAGCAGCGAGGGCAGCAGCGAACCTAGCAGCTAGGGAACAGGCTGCAGCAGCAGCCAGAGCAGCAGCAATGGCTAGCGCAGCGGCATCCTCTGCTGCATCGTCCGCAACATCCTCGTCAGGGACCCTATTGGGAATGCTCTCAGGGCCCGCGGTACTTCCGGGTCAATAGGTTCTAGTCAGACCACAAGTCAAATGGCGGGCTCACAGTTAAGCCCGTTGACCCCACGCGGCAGGGAGCTCTTAGAGCTCCAACAGGTCGAAAGGATTCGCGAACGGTTAGAGAGAGAACTGAAGCAAGCAACCGATAGAGAAAACGAGATAAAAAGAAGAGCAGCCAGGCTTGATACGTTAGAGGCAGACAAGGCTGCGTTAAAGGGTTTGCATGAGTCAGCAATGTCTGACGAACTGAAGGTATTGAAGAACAATATGATGTCGTTGCATGCGCACGTGGACAGCTGATTGGACTTTATGCAGAACTCTCTAGACCAGATCTTGGATCTTTTGCAAAGGTCAGGATATAGGCCAGCAGCACAGTCACCGTTGCCGTTAACGACGATGTCAGGCCCCTTTCCGATACAAGCTGGCACACAACCAAGTGGTACGTCTGCAGCAGCCGCACAGACTGTTGCTTCTTCTTCTTCGGGTCCAGCGGTGATAGCTACACAACCACCGCAACAACCTGTTCCTCAACAGGGACAGCCGCAAGGTCAATGGTACCCTAAGACCCCTATGAAACCGCCTCTTGCATTCTCAGGAGAGAAGAAGGACGAGGAACTCAACACATGGTTGAGAACGGTTCCAATATGGGTAAAGGCGAAGAGGACTTTGCAGGAGGAGGAGGTGATTACTGTTGCATCTTACCTTGAGGGTAAGGCAACCAAATGGCTAGATGGTTTAGTTTCAAAGGTCGGGTACGGACGACGGATGGCGGACTGGGTTAAGACCATTACGTTAGACCAGTTCTTAGAGATGGTAGAAACTCGTTGGCATAATCCACTGCAGGCACAAATTGCCACTGATGCGATAAACAGACTAGACCAAAGAAAGTTCAAGTCAGTCAGGGAGCTTACGACTACCGTAGAGAGCCTCATCGTCGTCCCAGGCATCAACTACGATAACCAGTTCCTTTTGAGCACATTTGTAAGATGTCTCCCAGAGAACCTCAGGAATTTGCTGGCCAGCGAGGCTCGCCTCGAGTATCACTTGTTTGAGACGTTATCTAGAAAAGCCTTAGATTTAGAGGCCACTCTAGGAAATGCTCAACCTTCTCATAATGACGCGAGGAAGAAGAAGAGTCCACATGAATGAAAGAAGAAGGGGGCTAAATTGATGATGGTTGAGTCCGATGGGACTCAAACAGAGATCGACGAGCTCACCGACCTGTTGGACGTTTCAGAGTTCGACGACGAGGAGATCGCTGAGGGTAGCACCCTCGCCGCAGTAGTTAAGGCTAAGGCTGGTGGCCAAGTGAAGAGCCATCAAAAGAGTCAAGGGAAGGCCGCCTCCAATCAGACCAAAGTTGCTGATTGGGTCAAGGCAGGTCTTGATCAAGAAGTGTGGCGGGACCGCCGAGTGCGTGGTGCTTGTATTAACTGTGGTGAATACGGACACACCCAGTACAAGTGCCAGCACACAAAGGTCACGCAGAAGATACCTCCTACGATTGGGGGCATCTTCTTCCCAGGCTTCTAGCTCGGGAAACACGTGAGGCCGGTGGAAGTTTTAGCTGCTTCTACTCATGGTGAAGTGGGCCAGATATCCTCCCCACTTCATGAGATGGCCATAGCTATTTAGTCACCCCGCAGACTCATCCAGACCAAACTATGCTTTGTATGTTGGATGTGTCTGAAGCCTTAGAAGATATGGAAAGCGAGCGGTCAAACAAGGACCCTCGTGAATCTTGGGTGGCACTAAGGAAGGGTCCTAGAGGGGAACATTTCGTGGTGGAAGTTGATGTAGGAGGCCGCAAATGTGGTGCCTTCATAGACATTGGCTCCACGCGGAATTACATAAGTTGCGACTGTTTGGAAAGGCTGCACCTACAGGACCGGGTACAACACCTTAGTAGACCTGTAGCATCTACTTTGGCTAATAAGGAGCGCATGATTGTCACAGACTATATCAAGGACGTAGTCTGTACTTTCTCCTATGGAGGAGAAGAACTTAATCATAAGATTTCGTTCCTTGTTAGCGACGACTTACCATTCGACATGTTGTTAGGCATGTACTACCTTGAGGTTGCCAAGCCCCAGTTTGACTGGGACAAGAAGGTGCTAAAACATAAGTTGCCTGATGGCAGAACAGTCAGATTGACTAAGTTCAAAGCCAGTAGCATAATAGATACCTATGGCTGCTTGTGTGCATCAACGTTCTATAACTATTACAAACAGAACCAAGAGGAGGGTATGTACCTTGTGTATGTCTCTGAGAAAGGGGAGACCGTTAAAACACACCCAGAGATAGAACACGTCGTTGCTAAGTTCCCTGATCTGTTCGAGGAGCCTACAGGAGTCGTAGAAAGGGAGGTTGTCCACGCCATAGAAATCATTCCAGCGAGTAGAACCCCAAAGGGAAGGATCTACAGGATGGCTCCGACCGAGTTGGATGAACTTCGGCGACAACTGAAAGAGCTGACAGAAAAGGGATGGATCTGGCCAAGTACTTCCCCCTACGGATCTCCAGTGCTATTTGTACCGAAGAAGGGGGGTACATTGAGGATGTGCATTGACTATAGAGGCCTCAATGCCATCACAGTGAAGAACGCAGAGCCTCCACCTCGCATAGACGACCTATTGGATAGGGTGCAGGGATGCAAGTACTATAGCAAGATAGATTTAAAATCCGGCTACCATCAGATCGCAATAAGACCTGAGGATCAGCACAAGACTGCATTTCAGACCAGATATGGTCTTTATGAGTTTGTTGTGATGCCCTTTGGCCTTTGTAATGCGCCGGGTACATTCCAGCACACCATGAATAGGATCTTCCATGACCATCTAGATAAGTTTGTCGTTGTTTATCTCGACGATATTCTTATCTTTAGTAAGCCTGTCGAAGAGCATGCACAACACGTTGAGACTGTACTCTCACTCTTGCGACAACACAAGTATAAGGTCAACCTAGAGAAGTGTGAGTTCGGACGTACTAAGATCTTATATTTGGGTCATGAAGTATCCGCGGAAGGGATTAGGCCGGAAGATGCGAAGGTGGCTAGTATAAGGGACTGGCCACGACCTCAGACTGTTACTGAGGTCAGATCTTTCTTAGGAATGTGCGGCTACTATATAAAGAACTATTCTACAGCCGCCTCTCCTTTGATAGATCTAACTCGACTTGACACACCGTGGGACTGGATGATGAGTGTGAGGCTGCTTTCAAACGATTGAAGCATGCACTCATGAATCATGAGGTCCTCATGGTTCCCGATCCTCAAAAGCCATTCATAGTAACCACAAACGCAAGCCAATACGACATTGGCGCAGTGCTGGCTCAACAGGATGAAAATGCCATCGAAGAAATTGGCAAAGTCCACCTACGACAGGGAACTTTATGCTCTCTACAAGGCACTTGTCCATTGGAGACATTTTCTGTTGGGACGGTTCTTCTACTTGAGAACTGACCATCAGACGCTCAAATGGATCAAGACTCAACCGGCTCTTTCTGATGCAGGCAAAAGACAAGGCCACAGAGAATGAGTTTGTAATGATGGATGGGTTACTCTTTCTTGATAAGGCCGGGTGTAAAAGGTTAGTAGTTCCATCGAGTGAGAGTTCGCGTAGTTTATTTATAGGAGAATGTCATGACGCAACCGGACACTTTGGCTACAAAAAGACGAGTGTCAATCTAGTACAGTGATTTTGGTGGCCTGGAATGCTAGATGACGCAAAGAAGTATGTAGAGACCTATCGGGTCTGTCAGCGGGACAAGCCGCGAACTCAAGCACCGCTTGGGTTGCTGAAGGCCTTACCTATCCCCGCTGGTCCAGGACAGAGTGTTTCCATGGATTTCATGGACACCTTGGTGACCAGTAAGAGTGGCAAGAGGCACATCTTCGTCATCATCGATCGATTCACCAAGTACGCTAGACTAGTTGCCATGCCAGAGACCGCAAGGACTGACCACGTCATCAAGTTGTTTATGGACAACTGGGTGCGTGATTTTGGACTTCCAAAGTCAATCGTTAGTGACAGAGATGTCCGATTCACAAGTGAGCTGTGGAAGAAGACTGCTGAGCAGATGGGCAGTCAACTTCAGATGACTTCAGGGAATCATCCCGAAGCCAACGGACAGGCCGAGCAAATGAACAGATTTGTACAGCGCTTGTTGAGGCATTACATCAAGCCCAGCCAGGATGATTGGGATGAGAAGTTGCCTCTCATCGCTAGCCTGTACAACAATGCTGTACACAGCAGTACCGACGTCAGTCCTAATCAGCTGCACTTGGGATGGAAGCCTAGATCAGCTCTAGACTTCCTCCTACCCGAAAACCGATCCTTTGCAACTCCAGGCACACTTGAGTATGGTGTGCAGTATGAGAAGTTGCTGCAGCAAGCTGTCGAGCACATCAAGAAAGCTCAACAAGCAATGATTGCTTCTGAGAACAAGCATCGACGACAATCCTCATTTCAGGTAGGGGAACGTGTCTGGGTCAAGGCTAGTGAGCTAGGACAGGAATTCGGTATCTCTAGAAAACTAATGCCTCAGTATTTTGGTCCCTGGGAAGTCCTGGATATCGTGGGGAATGAGATGGATTGTCCTACCTATGTTATCCGTATCCCTAGACACCTACGCACTCACCCTGTCTTTCATGCCTCAAAGCTTGCACCTTTCGCTGAGACGGATCAATTCCCTTCAAGGAGATCGATGCTGCCCCCAACCATGGATGGTCAAGTGGACATCGATGACATTGTGGATCACAGAGATCTGCCTGTTCAAAAGCCATTGGGTAGAGGAAGACCTCCAAGACCCAAGCGGGAGTATCGCGTCAGATTCAGGCATCATACAGATACGAAGGAAGATCGATGGTTCACCAGAGAGGAACTGATTGACACAGCTCCTCAAGTGGTGGCAGAGTATGAGAGAATGTTAAAAGGGAAGGCACCTGCGAAGTAAGCATCTCAGCGGACTTTCGAAGCAATGTGAGGATTGAGCCCTCAAGAAGGGGCCTTGCCATGAAGTACATGTTCTGGGCTAAGGCCCCAGCAAGCCTAGTGCCCGCCCAAAGTGAAGGCGGGCCAGCAAATCAACAAGAGCCCTCTATGCAAACATTTCACGAAGTGGGGTCCATACAGTTGCAGCACGCCAGTTGGTTGGTGTGCACCGAGTATCGGAGCTCTGCAAATGCAGAAATC